TTTTTTGACGATATTCGATATAAAAGTATCCTAGTTACTCGAGATTTTTTAATTTATTATTACGTCACATAATTAATTCGAACTTTTTCTGACCCTTTTTTGAAACCCTTATGGACGTCTCAAAGCACCTGTAACGGGAAAATAATCTATTATTATATTATAGTTTAAAGCATTCAAGGTCTATGCACTCTCAGATCTTACAGAACGTTGAACAGTATAATTTTCTCCCGTATCTTAAGAAATAATTTTTAATTCGCAGATTTTTATATTAAAAATATTTGTAAGGAGCTTTGGAAATGGTGTTTTATTCCGAACCCGCGTCCATGTAAATAAAAGCGACGCGCTGGGCGATAAAGTGTCGCGGACATCGGTATAAAATTGTATAAAACATCGACGTTCGTAGCTGCCTACCGCGTATATCTTGTGCAACGACACAACGAATGTCAGTTGTTAACTGTCGGCCATGCGATGAAAACTGTCCAACGGTATTGATGATATACCGGGGTGATTGATGTCGCTACGAGTAGAAACGAATGAGCTGATCCACCAACGAGATTCAACCTTGCAACGCGTAATTATCGTGCTATTTTAAAATTAACTCGGTTCGTACAGAGTTTCGATCGATCCATTTCTATATAATAATACAATCTGCCATGGGAATATAGATCGCGTTGACGGTGGTCTAACAGACGGTGTGACACGATAAATTAACGTCAGTAAAAAAAAATTTGTTTCGAATAATATTTCGACAGGATGTAACGATCTATCTATTTTTGCAAAATTATTTCACGCTGTTCGCGATTAATTTATAACTTCGTCGAACCTCTTTTGGGAATTTCAGCGATACTTTGGCTCCCCGTCGCAATGCCGTGCCAAAAGTTCTGCTCCTCCCAGAAGGATCGACCGATCGAAGATTCGGAATGGTTGGCACTGGCGGTGCAGATATTCTTAACGGCTCATCGTCTCTTAACAAATTTCACGGACTTCTTTAGGTCTGTTCAACGGTTCTTTAATTCGAGATAATTGCATCTCGAAGATTTTTATGTGTTGAAAGATTAGGTTCCGTATGGTTAAATGTTGCGACACGCACGATGATATCCCTTTGCACGGAGCTTTGGACGTCGTGATCGCGACAATGAAGATCCAACGACCTGGATTGTTTTGCAATATGTTCCTGTGTGTACGACATCGAGAACCAGAAGACGTGCTCCATAACATCGTTCACAAAGTAGCATTTATTCTCAATAGTTATAAATTCCAGCATTCGAGTAACAACTTTTAAAAGTTAATTGAAAATTTAATTGTTTATATTTATTGTACCCTCCTGAGAGTATCATCAATGGATTGGTGGGGTTCCCCCGATTAAAACGAGTACAAACATGCCCCTATTCTGGATACATATTTTTTTAACGTGGTCGAAAGATTTTTGGAAAATTCGGAAAACGTGTAATCGAAAGTGGTGCGAATATGGTCGAGTTTGTACTCATTTTCTTTGGGAAGAGCTCACCTATTCATCGATAATAGTCTCGTGAACATATATCAAACTTCTCGATTGATATAGACAATAAATATAAGGAAGAAAGTACATGTTGAATTGCTTCGAATTGTTAGGCTGTAATCCAGTTTCCGTTGAATGGGTATTTTATTTGTTACCTCGTACCTGTTACGAACAGGTAAATGCAATCTTGAAAAGTCGAGAAAAATGCTGCGCGATCGAGACCATCATGCGCGACCTGAAAGACGTTCTTTGCATCTTGGAAGAATTCCCCCCCAGTTCCACGACGGAGAGACTTCAAACGCTATCCTTACTCCTGAAAGAAATAGCGAAAAACCTCGTTTGCTGCGATCAAAGTTACGAAGGTAATATCTACATTACGCAACGATTAAAATGCAACGGAGTCTAGATAACCGAGCGTCGTTGCAACCATCCTCGACATAATATAACAATTAATTTATCTTTCCATTCGTTCAACGTGAATAAAAATTGTCAAAACAACGAACAAGACTACAATTTCGACGAGGCCAGAAATTAAATGAAGGATTGTTTAATAAGAGAGAAATCGCGGGAAATTTGTCGCGTTAAATAATTAGTTGTCATGGAATGTAGGGTAATCCCGCTCGTTCCACTCCGGAAAAGATTTTTCCCTGGCGCTAATGAGATTGCGAGGGTTGCTAACAAAGTGCACACGATGCATGCGAAATCCTCGAGTTTTGTAACGTTTGTACGACGTCGTAGAGCCGCTCCACTGTGCCCAGACGAAGCTGTTACTCTGTCTGGTCAACAAATTTATTCGTACATGGAGCGAAAAGAGATCCGCGACAGGAGTCTGCGTCAGGGTCTGCAGATTCTGCGATCGCGTTATCACCGAAACAACGCGACAATGGGCGAGTAATACTCAAAATATTATAACAAGATAGATTTAAATATTTAAAAATTCAATCTTAAATATTTAAACGGTGTTTTATATTTAATATCGTTGATTACAACACTCTGTTTTAATCTCTCTATAAACTGACGATCTAAAATATCAATTTTATTATGATTTTATCTCAAATAAATATGGATACTTCTGAAGATTAAACACGAGTTTCAGGGTTCCAAAAAATCCTGCACGCGGCTGATTATCGCAACGATTCATTTCCAGGGAGCCTTTTGCTGCAAGGACGCGCAATTGTACAACAATATCTGCGACAAGTGGGCTTTGCAACGATCGATATCGGTTAGTTTCGATGCCCCCCGACTGTCCGTATCGCGGGAAATAAATCCAGAGTCCACTGTCGTTAATAGGGTGCCGGCAAAGACGAGGAGATAAAATCGAAGCGCTCGGAACGCGAACCGTTTGCAGACAACGACGAAGATTACTCGAGTGTGTACACGACGACGGAGAAACGATCGCGAATACGCCCCGTGGATGACAGTTCGCGAAAACTTGACGACTACGGATCGACGATAAAACGTCCAAGTGCGACGCGTCGCGCGGGACCGGAAGTGCCCTCGAGAAGAACAGAGGAGGAGAGTCGAGCGGATAAATTCGACGCAGATTTAACGAAGACGGATCGCAGTGTCGAGGAAAAGATGAAAACTCGAAAGAAGAGTCCTCGCGACGTCGACAGGTAACGAGACCAATGTTTATTTAGTTATTAAATGGGTAAAAATTCATTAGAGTACGAGAGAAAAGAAAAAAGGTGAGGTAGAAAGCCGTGAATAAAGTAGAATTGATATTATACAATCTGCAGTAATACGAGTAACAATTTTTAAAGTTTAAAATTAAGAGTTAAATTTGTTATATATATTGTATCTTCCTAAGAGTGTTATCAATGAATTGGTGAGGTTCTCCCGATTAAAACGAGTACAAACACGACCCTATTCTGGACACATATTTTTTTAACGTGGTCGAAAGATTTTTGGAAATCGTGTGATTGAAAGTGGTTCGAATATGGTCGTGTTTGTACTCATTCTCTTCGGGATGAGCTCGCCAATCCATCGATGATGCTCTTGTAAGCATATATCAAACTTCTGAAATATAGAGAAAAAATCGAAGATAGATAGTTCGTAGTTTTCCTTTGCGAGAGTATCCAATGGCGTTGGATGGACTTTGAGTAACCATGCTCCGTGCAGAGACAGGTTGGAGAGGACACGGGACCCGGACGAAGAAAGAACGATCCGTAAAATGAAGAAAATTAAAAGGGTCGATAGGAAGGACTCTTACCGGAAGCGGCGCGAAATAGACGATGCCTGGAGGACGAACACGAACACGGACACGGAGGAAAGTGATGTTACTCGATCTCGACGAGATAGAAGAGATCCGTCTGCGGGGAAAAAATACGATCGCGAAGCTGAAGAAGGCGAGGACGTCGATTTCTCGCGTCGGAAGATGAGATCCGATCGAAGTCGAGCAAAAGAGGAGCCCAGGCGAGAGAGAAAGCTTTATAGGTGCCGATAGAGATTATCTCCGCGCGTAAAATCTATTTATAAATAGACTGGATGCTCCATGGATCGGTAGGAGCGTTGGTTGTTCGAAAGTTTCAGCGTGGTAACCTTGCAGGGACAGGTTCGCGGGGGGAGAAACGGAGAAACTTGTCGGGAAGATGGACGATACGGGCTACGAGGGTAAAACAAGCCACCGACGAGGCGGAAAGAAGCTGCGAAAGGTAAAGAACGACGAAACGGAAGAAACGGCGGATACAAGCGAGAGCAAAGGGACTCGCGGCCGAAGGAGGAAAAACGCAGATGCGTTTGACAGCGGAAGGAAGGGAGCGTCTTCTTACGGTCCTGATGAAGAAGGAGCTGCTCTTAAGCGTGATGGAAAGCGGAGAGATCGCTCGAGCAGAGAACGCGAAGGAACTGATTCTGACTTAACGAGGAAACGTAAAGGCGGTAGATACACTTTCCGAAACGTTTTTATCCACGGTCGTTATCTGAAAAAGTTAACTGTACCAGAAAATGCGGTATTGTTATCTCCTTGCAAAAAGATACTATTGCACTTGTAAACGATTAGTCAGAAGCTACGACAGAGTCTCGAACGCGTCTAATAATCTGTACAGTAGTCCCTCGCTCGTTGACTGAACTTCTCCTCGCCTTGATAGCGTGAAAACATCCCCCACTAGTATTATTTTTATTTTACGAATTTTTCTTAGACTGTTCTAGTATTTCGATCCTATCAGAAACACTCGTTAAGGAGAAATTAAAAAGTATGAAGCATGAAAGTTTGAAATGACCAAACAACACTCGTTTAAGAAAATTTGAATTTCACCCTGATTTCTTGCTTAGTAAAAGTAATGAGCATAACGTCGAAATGAAGTTTTCCATTGCACGCGAAGGTAAGGCACGCGATAGGAGCGCGAGAGATAAATCAACGATCGGTTCGGAGAGTCGGAGTAAGAAAGAGAGGAGCGTAACTGGTAGGAAGAAGGAACGTAGAGTGGCGGATTCGAATAGAACGGACGACGATTACAGCAAGATAAATGGACCTCCTTATCGCGGAAGAAAACCAAGAGCTATGGGACTTTACGACGTCGAAACCGGTAAGACGAAGTAATTCGAATTTCTGAAATTGGAAAACAATTTCTCTCTTCTGGCGCAGAAATTAGTCGCAGCTAGGAAAATGCTCGAGTTTGGGCGAGGCTTGATCCTAAGAATAAGCTGAATCCGATTTCTGCATCGAATAATGAGGTTCAAACTTGGGCAAATCTCGTCAAACCTTGTCAAATTAGACGAGACAGCAGAGTTTGTTTTAGTTTGTTGCCTCGTCTCGTTTGACAAAGTTTAGACTCGACTCATCCCGCGTTAACCAACGTTCTAAAATATGCGAGGCTGGTATCATAAATCTGTAAGGATGTATTCTCGAAATATTCGGACGAAGCTCAAGAAATTACAAAAGTTATGCAAGTTTAAACGCGGTGGTTTGAGCAGTCCCTCGCTTTGGGACGCGGCTGGCGCAGAGCAAATACCGCGGAAATTGAAGGAAAGCTTGAAAATTTTAAACGCTGTAAACTACCACTCGATGACAAAGTTTCGCTAACGATGCAAAAACTCGTTAACGGACGATTTATTTAAAAAATACGGGTAAAAGAACGCGGAAAATAATGATGAAAAATTGTTTAGCAAATTCACGTGTCGATTTCGCGATTTGATGCAACGAGACCTCGTTTTCGAAACGGCGATATCTAACTCGGCTTCATTATCGAGATTCCTGATTCAATGGAGATTGGCTGAAGTCCGATACCAAATCGTCAATTAATGGGGAACACTTTGGGTCTGCGAACGTTTGGTCATCATTATCGTATCGTATCCAAATAATGCGGTTTACGTATGTACGGTACGTCAAGTCCGCCGTACTCGTGAAATTCCTCCGTTGCAGACCATCGGAGCTCTATCGAGTACCAATTATCAGACCAGCACTTCGTGAAGCAGGGTTGGACCGTGCTACCGATTGCCAAAACCATGACGAAAATCGTCCAGTACCAAGCAAGGCTTGCGAAACCTCATCTGAACTGGTATGTATAGCAACGATTCGTGAATTGTGGCCTAACGGATAACACGGATTGCACGTCGAGTACCGAAACGCATCGTAACTTCGTCGATCTATCAATTATACCTCGATCGTTCTTTAATTTCTGCAAATACAATTTCGAAACGTTCCATTCTATGGGCAAGCATACTCGAGTTTAATATTTCTATAAAAATCGACTTTAAATAGCAAATATTCGTTGCACTAGAAAGTGCATTTATCTGAAAAGTAGTATCTTTAAAATTTCGTCTATTGGGTACGTTGCTGGGTTCGATTAGGGGACCACGTCATCCGTGGAACTCGATCGTGCGAAGTAGCTCGTTAAATGTTATGCGTCAACGAATCGACGACGTAATACTAACACGAGGGTTATCCCAGTAGATGATACACACGCTCCTCGATTCCCCGACCCATCCAACCATTACCAAATAAGTATACAGGGTGTAACGTGATGTATGGAAATCATTTCGAATATGATAAAAAAAGTTCCTGTCAAATTGTGTCAAATTGAACTTTGAATTCATCGATAATTGGTATTCTAAGAATAAAGAAAAACATTTTAATATTCAAAAATCAATTTTGGAGTAACGAATATTTTTTTGCAAATTTCGCAGAATTATTTAACCTTTTTTAACTAACTTCCATGAAACTAGAAGGCAAACAAAAAGATTTCTTAATTCGTATTGTACGAAACTCCGTGAAACTTCGGGATCAGTTGCTAACGAGCTATTAGGTCGAAGCGTGTAGCTAACACGATGATCTCGCGAACAGTGTCCTGTTCGAGTTTGTTTTAACAAACTAACTTCTCTAATTTGTTGAAATCATTAATCTCTCCCGCGACAGGTTCGAGAAGCACAAACTGGATGGAAAAATCTATTACGACGATGGATCTACTGTTTTCCTGAATTTTCGTATCGACGGATCGGGCCAAGTGTTCCATCCAAATGGAAAACTGGCCATCGAGGTCTGCAGACCGGAAAATCGAAAATGTAAGTGACAAATAGCTTAATTACAACTGCATTTATAAATGCTTGGCCAAATAATGCTATTATCCATGTAATTTGGAAAATTCTCAAACTGTCCAAGTCTTTTGTTATTCCGGAACTGAAAATGGCGGATATGCATATACGTTTGAGAGGAATACTGTTGCACGAGTTTTTAGGAAATGTGTCGTAACTCGTTGAAATGGTTTTCAAGACGATATGTGTACTGTGTTCAGCCCAGGGGGCAAGGATTGCGTGGGCGTGGAGAGGAAATCGGAAATTGTCGCGGTGTTCGACACGACGGGCAACGGTGCTGTCTTCGACGAGGACGGCGCGACGAGGTCCGTGACGGAAAAGAATTTCCCAGGAATTTTTAATTACTGTCGAGGGGTCGAGACACCTTCAATTCAAGTTTCCAATTATTTCTACAGGCTGTCCTACAATCAGATTGGAGGAATTTCGAGGGATAATCCTGCAGGACCGTCGCTGACATGGAAGTGGGACGCCGATGAGAAGAAGTCGATAGTCAAGACTGTATACGCGGTGGGTTGGCAATGTTCATATACAGGGTGTCATTCGGTCGAATGCTTGGATCCCTCCTAAGAAAATAATTTTAATTGCAAATGATATTACTTCGTGATTTATTTCAATTTTAGCTCAGCAGTTGGGTAAACATTTTAACGTTCGAAAGTGCAATATGGGTGGATTCCTTATAAAACAAAAATAAATTGAAAATTCTGTAGACTGCAAATGATATTACTTTGTGATTTATTCCAATTTTAGCTCAGCAGTTGGGTTAAAATTTTAACGTTCGAAAGTGCAATATGGGTGGATTCCTTATAAAAGAAAAATAAATTGAAAATGTAGAATAATGATTTTCTGTTTGCAGCTTTATTTTCGAGAAAATTGAGTGACAAACTGCTGAGCTAAAATTGGAATAAATCACGAAGTAATATCATTAGCAGTCTATATAATTTCCAATTTCCAAATTTGGTAATCCAGGAGAAGCCAGCAGCGCATTTGGAACGATTTTTGCATCCACGATTGCGACCAGCGTTAAAAAGGTAAGGATATTGGAGGAGATTGGTGAGATTTACGTGGATCTGAATGATCGATACGCGATGCGTTCAGTTCCGGAAGTGGGAAAGCAACGGCGTCTCCGGCGAGCTCGCGGAATAAGGAGAAGAAGGTCGCGGAACAGGAACACGTTGTCGCGGCGCACGACGAAGAAGAAGAGGTCGCGTCCAGGTACGTCGGGAGAAAAAAGTAGTACAATTGTACTCGAGAGATACTAATTACAACGGGACCCGCTCCAGTCCACGAAACGTTAATAATCGAGTTTTTCAATTAACGACCAACTACCTTCGATGCCAGCTGCGTCACAACATGGCTCGCTAAATGGGTTAAGGAACGCTGCATGCCGGGTAATTTGCCTGAATAAATTAATGCCGCGCTCGAGTTACGATTTCGCGCACGGAAATTGGCGGCAACGTTGAAACACACAGAATTCCAAACCGATAACAACACTTTGGAGTAGAAATATATGAGCTTGAAAAAGCTCCGAAATATTGTAATATTTACATAGGAAATCGTCGAACGTATTTTGCACGTTTCAGAGAAAACTTTCGCGAAGAAACTTGCCATCTGAAGGTGATCTGCATGAAATTAACCGATCATGTCAGTTTGAGGATTCTAAACAGAAGGAATATCAATCTCCAGTTTTTTGCTGTTGGAAAAAGCATTAGGTAAGAAGAGACCAGTTTGATGTTTCTTACGTATTAACGCCGCGATAAAATGATTGCAGAATAGAATTGGGGACGATTTTGAACCTCGACAAGGAAGTGAAATCCTATTTCGTGGACTCGAGTTCCAAACACGCCATGTTAAAGTAAGCTATCGAATCAGAAACAACTTTAAACGAAACATTAATTTTCTGTTCGTTCGCGACAGGTGTAAATTCGATAAACTATCGTCCGCCAAGTTAGAAGCGGACAGCAGTTTGCTGGTTCTGGCCAAGAACTTGCGAGAAGTCAAGAAATCGGCCGTACAACGTAAACTCATGGTCGCCAAGTATAGACCGTATTTGCGCGCGTGGGAACAATCAAAAACTCGATGTCGTCCGTGATTTTTCGATCGACATTTTTGTAACGGACGAACACTTTAATAGTAAAAAATGTTACCTTGTCTTCTTTCTTCGAAAACAGACCTGGAAATGGAAAAATGAAAATTTATTTGGTCTCGATCTGAACTCTGAAGGGACGAAGAATAGGAACGCAGGATTGTATAAATAAAAATGATTATGTAATTAAAATAATTATGAAATAATCAAATCTTGTCTTAATGTATACATTCCTCGTGCCAGTGTAACGATGTATACAATATGAGACACGCTGGTAAGCGTGTCCACATGTGTATGGTCCGATCAAATCTGCAACGTGAAGCGGCGAAACTCGAACATTTAGTTCCCGAAAGTCAGCCAACGAGTTATTATCCCGGCCTCCGGTGACGTCCGTGTGCGTTACAACCGTATGTTTATTAAATTAGACGCACTTTGACCAACGAGCGGTCCTCCCGCGAACTAAACGCGCAAGCTCCGCGCGCACGTTCTGTGTGTCAGTGTGTTTGTGTGCTTACGACACATACTTAAAACATATCCCCCGGGGTCGGGGAATATGTACTCTTGAAAATCATAAATACTAAGCGAAGAGGGGTCCGAGAGGGGGAGGGTGGAAAAATCTAAGAAAGAATGCAAGGCGAGGAACGTGTGTGGGGGTGGAGGGTGGAACGTCTTGGCAATAATTTCGATGAATAAATTAGGGTTAGATCGATCGAATGGGGAAGAGCGTGGAGTTAGAAACGATGCAATAGTTAAGGGATCAATAAATAAGCTCGCTTCGCGAGCGTACGAAGGGTCAGCCACGAGCTCCGTGAACGTCGACGTGTAACGTCCAGCGTCGCGGCGACCTTCCACCACGAAAGGTCGACGACGCGAAACCCATGGCGCGACGAGAACAATGAGGTAAAAAACGATGTTGGAAGAAAGAGGAATACCTTTCGACGTGCACGAATCGTGTATAAATAATCGTGCGTACGCGCGATGATTCGTAAAACGAACGTCGCTTAAACGCGGTTGGTATCGTTCGTCTTTCGTGCAGCGAAGTAAAAAAAACGTTGCTCGTGTCGCCTCTGCGTTCGTTTTAAGAATCATTACCGCATTCGAAGGAACCCGCGCGTCTCGTTGGGCCGTCTGACTACTCTCGACTTATTTACAATGCCCCTCGAGACGGCTCCGGCGATCGTCTGACGAGCCTTGCATCGCAGCACGCCGCGACTTACTCTTATACCGCGCGATTAGGCTAGTTTCGTTTCTACTGCGATCACAACGTGCCACCAAGTCCGGCTCGAAGAACACCGGGGAACGTTCCACCGTCGCCGCGACTCGAATTCCTCGACGTTCGGGGGTAGAGCAGCTTCGTTTCGAAGCTCTTTATTCTCGTAGACTGACGATGAAATACTGTTTTTCTCGACCGATGGAACGCGCCCCGACGTCGTCGTTCTTCGACTCCGTCCTCCTCGTTTCCTGTTCTCTCTCCTGCGGAGCACGTCGTTTCCTAGGGCACATATTTACACGGTACCCGAGCATATTCGGCTCGTTCTTTCATTCGAGCGGAACTTGATCGAACGGAAGAAACACACGCGGGCGTTTGATCTGATCGGTCGGCGAAGAGAGTCGTAGGAGAAAGAGATTTCAATTGGGAACGTAGCAGAACGAAAAGAATGTTCGAATTGAATAACATCCCCGAGCAACGCTCTGCTCCTCGAGATCGCCCGTCCTCGAGAGAGAGGGGTGGTCTCCCGTCGTCCTTCACTGAGTTCCTTTTTTCGTCTTGACGCGATCTCAGTTGGCGACCTTCACGAACTCCGGATTCGGCACGGCGCAGTTCTCCGTTGCGTACGCGGGATGGACGAAGCTGCTCCCGGCCATGCCCACGTTCTTCCGGTCCACGGCGCGCACCCTCACGAACAGGAACGCCGCGACCAGCGAGGCCACGACCACCACCAGTAGAAGCATCACCAGACCGCCGACGAAACCTGGCAAACTCATGCAGATCGTCTCGGGATCGGCGGACGCGCTCGCGTTCTGTATCACCACCGTGGTGTCGTTGCTCGAGTTCGTCGTACCGAGGGCAAAGTTCACGTCGCCCGGCGCCACCACCTGGATCGTCCTCGAGGTGTTCACGTCCGTCATTTCTTGGGCCGCTCGTTTGTACACGTGGGTCGACACCAAGGTGATCGTTCGGTAGATACTCTGCAAATTACACGGTGGAAACCAGCTAAGTATAGATCTGAATTATAGATCAGGGGCTGTGCAATGTAGGGGGCGTGGAGGATTCAATATTCAGTATATTACAAACGAGTGGACGTTCAAATGATAGTTGCAGATCTCTGGTATCTGGTGATATCGCTAGTATTCTATTTTCGATTGCTACCCGGAGAACTTGAAACTATATTTCTTATCAGATCTTTAGGCAAATTCATATTTTTATGAAAATTAAAATTTCCCATGATTGTGTAAACATCTACAGTCTACTCCCTCGAGTGCTTGCGAGAGAGACAAGAGCGTAGCCCTCTGGTGACGATTCTCAACATTAACCCCTTGATGTACGATTCAATTTCAAGTAATTTGTCCAAACGTATACTATTTAATTTTGTTTAAGATCGTAAAAGGAATATAAAAATGACGACGAGTAGCCTCACGACTGTGAAACTTGCCAGAGCTTCTAGCGAGTCTCACTCGTTGGGAGTTAATTTTCTAATAACGAAATATGGTCCGAGTACGAATTTACGAGGTACTTACGGAATCGTCGTCTTCCAGATGTTCGTGATCGTCGGACCTCCGCCTCCTAGCGCCCCTAAGCTCGGCTGGAAAACCTTCTACCGACCTCGGGCGACCTCCGAGGGTGGCCAGGTTGCCCTCGAGCTCCTCGGAACCGGCGGTTCCCTTTCTCTTCACGGTCTGGTAGGCCGCTGCCGGGTGACCAGGAAGAGGGGGTGGAGGTAGGTGAATGTTATCCTGTGGACTTTGTGGCGAGCTGCTGGCCGTCGCGTCACCCGGCGTCGAACTGGGCGAAGAGGATGAGGTTTGCGCCTGCGGCGCTGGCACCACGTCCGCGTTCGGTTCGCTGTTCAAAAACGACGGTCAGGGTGAAATTAAATTTCGAGCTACGCATGCGGGGAAACAACTATCCGACTTTGACTCCAACCTGCTTTCACGAAATGATAACAGAGTGATCCCTTTTGGTGCATGATTTTCAAGATATAAATAATTAAAATGAAGTTTAAATGTACTATTAGGTACATATTCTCTTTCAATGCAAAAATACACCAAAACTTATGATCTGAATTTTCTAATAATTATGTTAGTGTCGCTGGTGATGCTATAAAGTGAGAGTATCAGAGAACCATTAAATAGTACTGTTTTCCACAGTCAAATTTGAAAACAGTCAACGTGTTGATCTGATCTAGAGTGAACGTCACATCCTGTGAATAGATGGATGCTCATAATTATCCTACTCTGATTATTTACATCTCAAAAAGTGGCATGTATCTACAGAGATCACTCTACTATTGTTTTGCAGAAGTAAGATCGAAGTTGGACAATTTGTGTCTTGAATATATTGAATGTCTGTCTAACCTGTAAGCTCCAGCTGGACCACTGGGGTGTCTAGGGTCAGCAAACGCTGGTGGTACGCCGTATTCCGGGACCGGTGGTGCTCCGTATTCCGAGCCAAGGTTCTGGTGCACCGCTGCACCGTACTCTTGAGCCAAACCAGCAGCCGGGGCGCCATACTCCAGACCAGGGTGCCCGCACTTTGGCTCGGGACAGTTGTACCGACAGACCTGTATGACGCACTGGAAGTGAACGTTCATGCTGTCGGGGAACTTGAAGGCCTGGAAGTAGGCGAAGCTGACCACCGAGGCGCTGGGTCCGAAATTCTTTATCTTCTGGAACCTATAAAGAGGAAATGGAATTTAAAAAACGACAAAATCTCAAGAATGATCACTCAAAAATAGAGTATATTGAGGATTTACTTACCTGGACATGATCTTGGGCCTGACGACGCAACCGTATTGATCCACCAGCTGGATAGGAGCCCTCTTGCCATCATGGGCGACGCAGTTCCTCACCAGCATGTCGAACTTGTTCTCGTCGTCCTTGATCGCCAAGACCATCGTCATGGTTTGCCCGATCTTAACGATACCGGACACCTCGCTGGCCCACGGGCCCTTGCCCACCTGGATCTGCATCCAACACTGCAGATTGTCGCCGAGAAAGTTCGCGGTGACGGCGTGCAACATGTCCACTTGGAAGGGCCTGAAGGTCACCGCCTTCTCGTAGAAGTCGTACCAGGTGCAACGGAGCTTCCTCGCCTGGTCCCAGACCTCCTGCACGTACGGGTCGTACTGTACGATTATGGTGTTCTCCACGTAGCTGCCCGACGGCGTCGGGGCCCCGTACGCCGCCACGTTGTGATTGGCCGACGAACTCATACCGCAGGAATTTAAAAAGATCTCGAAGGTCGCGCTCAAGTGACCCGTGCCTGGTTTCAAATGAACGCAGTGGGAATCCGAGTAGAAGCCTTTGCTGAAGATCATCCCGTAAAACGGTCGATCGAACTCGATGTTGACACGCATGTGCGTTTTCTCGCACTGGACCTGAAGATGTTTTATCTGGGGCGTATCCGGGGACGCCAACGGCCAGTTCTCCTCGGCGCCATGCGTCACTGGGGGTCCATACTGTGCCGGGGGCCCGTAAACCGACCTGTGTTCCAAGGGCAGCGCGCTGCTGTCCACCAACGGAGCCTCGCATTTCACTCTCTGCAACAAACGATTCAACGTTTGGTTAGCTTCTTCTCTCTACAGGTATCGTAGTCTTCTCGACTCCTGACAGCTTGTACGCTGAGTTTTCCCTCGGAGTTTCTGGGAAAATTAATTATTGAATCTAGGGTTTTCAGCCAGATCGTCTACAGAAGTATACCATGTTTACTTTTGTATTGTTTTAGTTTGTATGTTTGAAATCTGTAAAGGTGGGGGAGACTGGGCCAGTTAGATCGAGGTTTGTGGTGTTTGGGGGCAATTATAGTGAATTATTAAAGATATATATTCTATACTAGATGTAGTGTCTATTTTGCTGTCCACCAACGGAGCTTCGCATTTCACTCTCTGCAACAAACGATTCAACGTTTGGTTAGCTTCTTCTCTCTACAGGTACTGTAGTCTTCTCGACTGGTGACAGCTTGTACGCTGAGTTTTCCCTCGGAGTTTCTGGGAAAATTAATGATTGAATCTAGGGTTTTCAGCCAGATCGTCTACAGAAGTATACCACGTTTGATTTTTTATTATTTTAGTTTGTACGTTTGAAATCTGTAAAGATGGGGAGACTGGGCTAGTTAGATCGAGGTTTGTGATGTTTGGGAATAATTATAGTGAATTATTAAAGATATATATTCTATACTAGATGTAGTGTCTCTTATTATTACAGTCTGAACCAATCGGTCCGTGAATTCTGTTTTCCTTCTGTATTTTATATAATTATATGAAGATATGTTAATTTTAGCAGAGTGCTTGAAGAGGAGTTGAACTACATTTTTGTTTAATCTTCATAGTTCATACTTGGTTGAGCATTTCGGTCGACTCACGAGGAATTTGCCTGTCGAGTTCTTTGACTCTCAGTCGATACCTAAGCCAAGTTCTACAGCATCTTCGATAACCGTGATATTCTCTAATTTAAGAAAACGAATCCCTCGCCAAAGTGAAAGTTACTATCTTTGATTTCATTGCCAATACGAAAAGGATCATTGCGAGCAATTAGTCTTTCCTTAAACGCGATCGTTATGAGTCTATCTTCGATCAAACGTTTCGTATATTTACGAGTTATATTGATACTGCAGCAGTATAAATATGAACATCTACCTAAATTCCTGACAGAGCTATAATGTAGACGTCTGAATCAATATTGACATAATTATGATGGCTACCCGAACGTTCAAATTGCTACCAAAGTTTAATGACTGAATGTGGCAATCAAACTTAATTGAAAATAATAATTTAATAGATATAGAATCACGCCAGGTCGTTCTTTTTATGATAAAACACAGAAACATCAGTTAAGTATTTTGGTTGTATTATAGAACGTTTATATATTAAAATAAATTTAATTCCGTCTTGTCCTGTTAATCAGCGAATTTAATCAACAATTTAAGCGGCTGTTTATTTAACTTCTTAAAGATATACACAGTAGTAAATTATTACGCGTTTACCGCGATGACCAACAATAATCGATCGTGGTTTAAGCTCAAAATAGCTGCGGTCGCTTATGCGGTATCGGACCGTTGAGAATGACCGAAAATGATTATAGCTGTGGTAATCATTTGCGAAATATTATACTAATTGCAGCATACTTCCGTAATGAAACCTGTTCACATTGTTTCGTAAAACTGAGCTTCGAGTGTGTTGTTGTTCCATGCACACGTATACATGAATGGCCTGAATTCACACGTGACAAGCTAAACAGACTATGACAACTACAAAGCATAGGATGAAAAACTGTAATCCTGCATTATACACAGTTTAAAACAGTTTTACTGCTTTCGTCAAACGAATGGTGCTTACACTTTTCAGAAACAAATACACCCAATTTATTGCAAAGCAGATTTATTCCTTGAAGCTTGTCGAAAGAGACTATTTGCATGTGTTCGATCGAACAGTGAACAAACTATTGATATTTTGTTAGTTGGTTGAGATCACAACATTTCAATTGTAGCTCGGTATACTTTCGTAGAAGGGGAATGATCAAATTATTGGGTTGTAACGCGGAAATATCCGTTTAAAAGCAGTCCATTAAATTCTGTAACAAAGGAACTTCGAACGGTTTAGGTACACGTCAAACTGTCGGGGAATTTGCAAGACAACTCGACGTAAGTGCTATAACAGTTTCCAGACACTTAAGGAAAATTGGCAAAGTCAGAAAGCTTGAAAAGTGGGTTCCCCATGAGCTCAATGAGAATCAGAAGCACCCGGCGATATGAAGCGTGCAGTTCGCCGCTTCGACGCCATTCTATCGAGCCACTCTTGGTGATCGGATACCGACTCAAGGACGTAAAACGAAGATCCTGCAATGATCAATATCCATCTGCTCGCAGATTCAACGTTCAAGAAGCCATCGATTTTCCATCCCAAGAACTCGCCTGTTGTTTTGCAAATTTCCAACTCAAATTCATTCTTGTTTCATGGTTTGATTAAATATTTAATATCTTAACTTCAACGTTAATGATGGTTAAGTGTTTAGTGCTCCGGATCTTCTACCAGGTTTTAATGTGTAATTCCAGCGATCCGCCATTGTTCATCAAGAACTTCGTCGAGCTTGATCGTTGATGTTGGGTCAAAGTCATCTTTCCAACTCGTCTCGCAGATATTGCGCGGGAGTCGAGATCAGGACTCTGTGCAGACTATTTAACGAAGTTTCTCAACTCCCATCTTAACAAACCACTCCTGCGCAGACCTAGCTTCCTGCGCGAGAACGTTGTCGCGCGGATAGTTAAAGAGTCCTTCTGCAAACTGTACTCCCAAACTTCCACGAACGTAATTGTTTAAAATTCCGCGGCGATCCTCGTTATCGAAGATCGTAAATTATATAATAATCGTACAAACATATTGATCTCGTTCCGTTTACGCGACAGATAATTTCGATAAATCGCGGATAATACGTTACAAGATGAGTATTTATTAGACCGTGCGGAACAGCTTAATTTCGACGATTTTAATTGTCCATCGACGCGTCGAAATCAATTTTTCGCCTCCTCTCGATATTCCGAACAAAATGGTGCTGATATTATTCCAAACAAAGGATCAGAAAATTGAGATGAACTCGAAATGAAAATTAGCTGAATTTTATGGTGATTACTTACGATTTGTTCCTTATGAGATCTTCTTTTACACGCGTTTATTCTTAATAATTTATGAATTGAGAATGTCTGACGTTACTACGATCGTTTGTAATTTTTTGGGCCGAGGAATTGTTACGTTAAGTGCGTCGAGACTTACGAAACGACCTAATATTTACGCGACGCGACGAGAAACCGGACGCGCGTGCGACGAGAGGAATTTCTTGAAAGACGACAAAACGACTCTTAACGGAAAATGAACGAACGCGTTCCACGACGAACTTCTCAAGGCCCTGCACGTATGCACAAAGGTAATTCAACCGGCTGTATTTCGAAACCCCTCCCGTAACGATCATAACGGCGAGTCGACCAAAAACACAGTCCCTCTTGCTACCAAAAAAATAAAAAATTCTCGTGACGTCGACATCCATCGGTTAAGAATTCTCTATGGAACTAACTGTAATAATATCTTGAGAAATAATTTAATTTTGTGAGATTGGAAAAAACGTTTCTGATGAATAACACTCGTGTATGATATTGAATATAAAAAATAAGCAATACTATTTTTTATCAAGGAGTAGCAGTGACGAAAGGGGTGGCGGGAATAAATAAAACTCGGAGGGAGGCCGCGTGTAAAAAAAGATTGAGAAACATTGGCGCGTCTCGTTTCCACCTCCCCCGCTGGTCCTTGTTCCTTGTTTTTATATTTTTTATTTTACGGGCGTCTACAAACGGCGTCGGGGCGCCGGCCTTTCTGGAATTACAATGAATGACGACGAGAGCAACGAGTCACCTCCGTTTCGTTTCACGAGCCACGGTACAGAAGCGCGTTGCATTAGGAATTCCGCGAACGTCATTCGCCGTTGCAACCTTTCGCGGAATGCCAATCGAACGCGAGGTTACGGTGCTCGAGATTCCACGGAATTCTGCTGCGGATCGTCGGACCGATTCGACCTTGAACATCGACGCCCCCAATTTTTTCCAATCGCCAATAACTCGTTAAACGTCAAATTACTTTTTTAAAAACATATTATGATAATATTATAATTTTTAAACCGTATAAATCTTCTTCAAGGATGAATGCATAAACAAGATTGCAGATTCAAATATTTTGTAATCCCTTTGCACAGAAAAAAAAAACTATCAATTACTTAATTTTCAATTTTTTAGATAGGAATTCTCTATTAGGAATTTTGACTAATATTTTATTAGAAACATAATAAGTATTTACAAGTACTTGTGTATTCGCTGATTTTCATTCGACAATAAATTGATATGAGTGAAAATTATTGAAGGACGTCGTCTGCGTTAAAATTATCATATAATATTTCTTGACACATTCAATTTCCTGTGTTCGTTAAAATCGAAATGAAATTGCAGCGAACGTTATCGAGTTCCTATTAGATTTAAATTACGAAGACAATGTACGTGGAAACGAAACGTATAAACGAACTGTCTCTAATTTTTATTTCCTTTTGGTCCGAACTATAAGCTCCGGCATATTAATATTTTTCTTTTTTCTTGCGAATGTCCACCGTCCATTATTTCCTCGTTGGTGGGATAGGATGATGGAGTTAACTCATACTTGGCAGTGAACGCGTTAAGCGACAGCCGCAGGTTTCGCGAATGCGAGTCACGAATCGAACACACGTCGGCGTCCATTACACGGAACAGAATTCGTATTAATACAAGCGGGTGACTCGATTAAAAACAACCGGAAACAAGGGTACTGTTACACAACAAACGTCACTCGACAAACTCTTCAAACGCATCGACACACCCTCATTAACTTTGTAAATTATTTCAAGAAGAAATAATTATAATTTTCCAAGTGACCATTCATTTTTCTCGACTAAAATTCTATATGCGTAAAGAAAATCGTAACGTTAAACAGAAATTCAGAAATACCTCGTAATTATTACACACTGTTTTTTA